CCCCAAAACCCCAAAACCCCAAAACCCCAAAACCCCGAGTTAAGGAGGGGTAATTGGGCCACTATTTTATAAGAAATTTATAAGATGGACGAAGTGGTTCAGGAGATTGTTAAGTGTGATTTTGGGCAAACGGCCAGGGATGTAGTGAAGGTTCTGCAGGATTATGGCGGCATGACGGTAGGGATTTGGGGTGTGAGCGGTGTAGGTAGGGAAGATTACGAAGTTGGTGCAGTATGAGAGGATTGATGTGAAGAATGTGTTGATTGTGTTGATAAAGCATGGATTGATAGACTTTAAGGCAGCAAATGAGGGTTTGGAGGTTGCTGGCGGTATTGGAGATGCGTTATTTGGCTTTAGATCAAGATTTTAAAGTATATGATATCAAGAATGACCAGATTTTCAATAGATTGAGGTTTGGCAGATTTCTTACAATGGATTTGAAGATAGAGGGAGAAGCAACAAGAACTCTTGAGGAGAATAGAGAAATTTTACTTAAAATAATCGAAGTAGGATCTCTTAAAGGAACACCTGAAATGACAGACCTCGCTAAAAGCGGCTACATAGTTCAAGCAGAATATGACATTCAATTAGGACTTCAAGCAGGTAAAATTTAGCATAAATATTAGAAGAGGATGATGGAGAAGAAAAATATAAACTCGAAGAAGAACTGAAAGCAGAACAAGAGGCTGAGACTAGTGATTTAATAGTTGACCCAAGAAAATTTTATATCTTAAACACAAGAAAATTTATTCATCAGATCAGAAATCAAGAGCTCAAGACTCTAGCTGCAGCTAAGCTAGACTCTCACGGTAGTGATCACATCAAGGATGGTGTTGGAAAGATCATAGTTGGACTATTCCTTGATAACTCTAATTATATTGACAAAAGTGAGAATTTTGAAAACACAGAAATTCTCTCTTTGTCCCAAATAAAAGAAAAGCTGAAGGAAATGTATGACCAAGTTGCAGGTATTTTAAAGTATTAATATCCCAACTATAGAAGAAGATAAAGCAAGTGCTGATTTGATAAAGCAACTATATGTTGATGAAATCAAGCTCAAAGCGAATCTTGATAGGATCCAGAGTGATAGCTTGGAATGACTCAAGAAAGAGAATGTAGACCCAGTCACAGGAGAACCATTTTACTCAATCAAAGTTCATCATATGGTTAACGTGTTACAAGAAAGGTGCTGAGAGAAAATTATTGAAGAGACCTTCGATACTTACCATAAGAGAGTCTACAAAATCCTTAGCCATAGAGGATATCTTGATGAAAATGAAGTAGTCAGAGAGTGTTTCATGCCACCAAGAGATGTCAGAAGAATCCTCAACGCTCTGTTCCAAGAAGGAATTATCGAAACCCAAGAAGTACCTAATAAAAGTGGGAATATGGTGAGCCTCTTTAGTACAAACTTTAAGAAAGTTAGGCTTCAGTATTACACAAAAATGATTAAGATGCTTCTTAATTGCAAGAAAAGACTTGAGTTCATAAGACAAAAACTGAATGATAAATCCATGACCTGGACTCTAGATGAAGAGGAAGCCAACAGAAATGCTATCTATAAGCTGGAATATTTCTGTAGTGATCTTGAAAGATCGATCATGATCTTCAGTGAGTTCTAAGCTGTCTCAGTCATTACCAACATATCTTCAACCATTTTATCGATTATCGGGGTTTTGGGGTTTTGGGGTTTTGGGGTTTTGGGG